GTCCACATACTGCTGAAGCCTAACTTGGAGGATTTTGAGCATAACCTTGCTGACCGTACTGCCCTGTTTTTTGGTCCTACTGTTGTTTCAAAGCATCTGAGGGAAGGGAACAGCAATACAAAGCTATCCCTCCCAAGATGTTTGGGCTGTCTGAGGCAAAGAACATTTCACATCCAGAAATGGACTAGACTAGCATTTGAAATCCCTTTCAATGCACTTAAGGACAGTGGGCTAGTGTAGGGATGTACAAGGTACCATATGGCATGGCCAGCTTCCCTCCACAGAAGGCAAGGGTGAACGGGCCCAGCAGACGTCCAGGTCCTGCCACAGCAGCCCCACAGCATTTGGGGTGGTTACCTCACAATGCCTAATAGTGTGGCCAATCCCACATTGCTTCTCACTCACACCACTGATCTCTCACACTCAAGACTATCTATTCCAGTCAGCAGAACTGCAGTTCCCATCAACCCCAGCCAGTTATCATGATGGATGACAGGAGCTGCAAGCATCTGGGAGGCGACACCTTCCATACCTGGAGACTCTCTACCTTCTAGCAATGACCCCGAGACTTTCAGACAGGATCCACTGTGAGAACTACCTGACCCCCCCCCCATTTGAGGCTCCTTAGCAATCCATACGAGGACCCTCCCTCCTATGCCATGATTCCAGAGTTAATTCAGACACCTTCATTTCTATTTATGGAATAAGTTGCACAGCACTTCAATTTTATTTCCTCAAAGCAAATGCAAAAAAACAAGACAGCTATGCTGATTCATAACAAAATCCAAAACTGGGCAATACCTTTATTAGTATTGACTACAAGTCCAAAATTGTATATAAGAATTCTAGAGATCTTCATCAGGCTACAGGGTATATATGTGGGGCAGGGAGAAAAACAGAGGTGCCTAAAAATTCAACGAGATGTTTTAGACATGATGGCCAGTTACTGTCTGTCTAAGATGGAGAATGCAGGCTTGATGAATCATTGGTGGGTACGCTAATAACATAGTACACCTATTAATGCCTGTTGGGATAGACAAATTGGTGTGTCCCCATTTCTAGCCTGGCCAGATGTCTTTGCAACATTAAACAACTAGCACACGAGGCAAAAATAATAAATAAAAAAAACTCACTCATGGCTGTGTTGTAGTTTGGATAAATTACTTAATGGTTGAAATCACACACATGGAAGTGCTATCCCCCCAAAAAAGAAAGAAATAATGTCACAAAACCTTATTCACAATCAAAAAGCAAATTTATTATTGCTATATAACTGAATACAAAAGGTTGCCTATAAGCACTGTTGATACATATACATTTTTGGCAATACATTCGTTGTTTCTTCTGCCTGGAAATCTGTCTGAGATCTTCCATGCAAGTGTATAAATTAAAGTAGCTCAAGACATCACACAAATAGCCCATATATTCAGCAGAAATGTTTAACTTGCTGCACATACCTAAAAACATAAAAGAAAGTTGTTTATAACCTTGTTTTCATGGAGTAGAATGCCAAGAACTTTTCATAGTTAAATAACCCAAAACGCTTTCTGCCTACTGAAACCATGGTATTCTCTATTTTAACATTTAATCAGGAGGTCTTTAAACACTGTGGAATATCTGGAGTTTTCTAAATAAATTACTTTACGTGTTTGGGGCATGGGTATGGGGAGTAAGCCAAACAATTGTCCAAATGAACATGATACAGCTTTGCTACCAGTCAGGGAATTATTATACCCCCAACTCTGCTAAAATGGTCAGATTCCAAAAGATCTCCTGTATGGAGAATTAGCGCAGGGAAATCGCCCCAGAGGGAGACCACAGCTGTGACACAAGGACATCTGCAAGCGGGATCTGAAGGCCTTAGGAACAGATCTCAACAGATGGGAAACCTTGACATCCGAGCGTTCAGCCTGGAGGCAGGCAGTGCAGCATGGCCTCTCCCATTTTGAAGACACACTTATCCAGCAGGCTGAGACAAAGGCAGTCCTGAAAGCAGCAAAATCAAGAGAGCTAGTCAGGGGACAGATTGTATTCGTCTTCAGTGTGGGTGTGGAAGGGATTGTCACTCTCAAATTGGCCTTCTCAGCCACACTAGACGCTGTTCCAAGTCCTCCATAGAGAGCACGTTACCATCATCTCTGGGGACTGAAGGATGCCTAATCTAATCTGCTAAAGCCTGCCTAGCTAGAAGTGAGGTCTACATACAAAATATTCTGAAATTCTAAGAACAGTATCTAAATGTAACATCTCTACTTAATATCAGGCAAAAGCAAAATAAATAAGATAAAAACATTGTGGCACCTTAAATAGTAACTGCTATATTTTAATGGGAGCTTTTGTGGACAAGTCCACTTCTTCATACCTAGTCTTTAAGATGCAACATTTAAAAAAAATCTGCTTGTTTCAGTTGGGTATGCTAGCATAGACTACTATGCCCAACTCTTCAAAAACTGCATATGTGTCTACCGAAAGTTTTATGTGGTTTTCCTTCTGCAGAAGGGAAATGGATTAGCTTGCAGCAGATTCTCACTGGCAATTAATAATTGGTCTTTCAGGCATTCAGCAAGTCATTGGTCAGGCACATGCCCAAAAATCCAAGCGGAGATTCTTTAAATGCCAGCAAAAAGCCTCAAACTGCCAACAAAAAGACCTATGGATGATAACGGAGCTGATTTACAATTCATGAGCAAAACTAACAATACAGTTTACAGTATCACCAACAACATACATGATCTGTTTAACACAAGCAGTTCTCATGACCAGTGCATGACTTTTTTCAGCAGCAAAAATTGTATGATTGCACAATGACATGCTGAAATCCTGTTAGTTACATAAAAGGCATAACTTTCAGGTGAACTGCCTCAAGTTAAGCAATCTTGTTGCAATTCCACATGCAATAGATAGTATATACAGTACAGAGATTCTTGAGGCAATGTGCATAACTGTGCAACAAGATTTCAGTCACTGTGTCATCATATGATCTAACTTTACAATTTTTATGCTGGTTTTGCATAATTGTTTTTAGTTACCTGGTGGTCCTGGAAACTTCATTCCTAAGAACCAGAAAAAGACTGGTGTTAAGTACATATCAAAAAACAGTCCTTATATTCCCCTCTATTGGCCAAATTACACACTCAAAAAGTCTGAACCGGAACTTTAAACTCTGTGTCCTCATCTATGTGAATAAATAATCACAGCAAATCATGATGTGAACAGCAAAATGTTTTAATCATTGGACACTAGGAGCCAAAAATTACCTTTACTGCAGTTGATGTGCTTTGCTTAATTCTTATTCACATATTTAAACAGTGTGTTTTAAAACATACAGATTATACTTTGTTAGAACAGTAGCTTTATGATAAGCTGCAGGTAGTCAATACACTGGGCTGGATCCAGACTTAGTCACAGTTTTAACCCAATAAAATGAGGGATCGTTATACCAAACCAACAACAACTGGAGGTCCCGTCCCAGGATCTGAAAGAATTTACATCACAAAACCAAATGGTAAAATTGCACGAATGCACCTTTCTGTGCAAAGCATGATCCCTTTTTCTTCCTGTGCCTCTCCTACCAGAGGCTGAACCGTCACCATCCCCCTTTTTTGACTCTGGATGCAGCATCGCTAAACAAATGTTGCGTTGTGTTGTACAACCACGCAGTCTTCCAAGTGTTTTAGCCAGTAATTTTTTTATCCTCCCCGCCGTTCTTTCCCGTTTATTTTTCTCTGAATGACGAGCTGTTAATTATTTACTACTTTTTGTGTCTTATTACCTGGCCCAAATATTTTGTTTTTTTTAAAATATTATGTATAATATTTATGTAAACATGTTTACACATTTTGTATTTACGTTATGTAAACATAAAATATTTCTTTTTTTGCCCAATAATAACCGACCAATCCCATAATAACCAACCATTTCTCTTTACCAACACGCCGTCCGCGCAGGGAGAAGTCAAAAGGAGCGACCTTCCGCCGCGCACGGCTATAAGTCACAGCATCCTTAATATGCCTGTGTATTCATTGGCTAAAAGCAAACGCCGCTTTTGATTGGCTCGCGCCTTTTTTCCCTTTTCCGGTTCCGCCGCGGGAACGTCGTTTCTATCTCTAGAGGTACGAAAAGGTTAGACATGCACACATGCAAAAAGTACTGTATAGCCATAGAGGTAGAAAAAAGGTAGACAGACCCGCTCTCAAAACGTCAAGTATACTTTTGAAATAATTTTCCACTCTTGGCTTGTTTGCAAACAAAGCAACACTAAGCCTACATTGGACCATAATCTGTTTTTCCTCCTACGTCTGTATTGCGCAATCTGTGCAAGAAGCATGATCCTGCATTATTAATGGTGTAACTTTCCATTCCAGCAGCTCAAGGGGAAACTGAATATACTGTCTAAAATTCAAAGCAAGGAAGAGCAAGCAGCTGGCAATGGGTTAGCAATGGTTGCTTCAGCTTAGGCTGGGAGAGTAAGATTTGGGAGTGTTTTCATGATTCCTGGAAAAAGTGAGTTTTAAGGATTTACAGAAAGCAAAAGGTGACACATCACAGAAGCATTTTGGGAGGTAGTCCAGCATATTGGGCAGTTAAATTAAACTGGGCCTCTTCAGACAATAGAGATGGAAGACTGAAAATAACCAGAAGAGGTGCAAAGAGGATTAATGGGTGGGCAGGAGGTCTCTGTGGAATCCTACCCACATCTTTCCATCTCAGTCAACTTATCTTCTGTGAAAGAGAGAAAGCCTTGTTTACTCCAAAATGTTGTCAGTGAAAAAGTTAAGTGTGGATGAGTTAAAGGTATCATGTGAGTGAGAAAATTAAAAAAAAGGAGAAGAAAGTAAAATAAAAAATATATACAATTTTCTGGTTCACTTTGTAAAGTCTTCGTCCTCCCTCTCAGGCCTGATCTGCATTTGCAGCAGAATGAAGATGAGAATGACATGGGAGACTGAACAAAAACATTTCAGGGTGAAATTTATGGTGCCCATTTACATACCAAAAACAGGAAGACAAAGGAGGTCTTTTATCTGTATAATTCTGCATATGCTAATTTATATATCCCCTTGATGGCTTGATGCCTTATCCTGGTGAAGAGGCTTGAGTAATTCAGAGAAGCTATGGGCTATGTTGTGCAGGAACACTAAGGATGGACAGGTCATAGTGGAGAGTTCTGACTAAACCTGGAGCAGGAATTGGCAAGCCACTCCAGTATCTTTGCCAAGAAAACTCCATGGCTAAAAGATATGACGCTGGAAGATGAGCCCCTCAGGTCGGAAGGCATCCAACATGCTACTGAGGAAGAGCAAAGGACACGTACAAGTAGCTCCAAAGCTAATGAAGTGGTTGGGCCAAAACTGAAAATAGTCTCAGCTGTGGATTCGACTGGAAGTGAAAGGAAAGTCCGATTACCATATCTACTATTGTGGGCAAGAATCCCGTATAAGAAATGGAGTAGCCCTCATAGTCAACAAAAGAGTGGGAAACACAGTACTGGGATACAATCTCAAAAAGGATAGAATGATTTCAATACGAATCCAAGGCAGACCTTTCAAAATCACAGTAATCCAAGTTTATGCACCAACCACCAATGTTGAAGAGGCTGAAATTGACCAATTCTATGAAGACTTAGAACACCTTCCAGAAATGACACCAAAGAGAGATGTTCTTCTCATTATAGGGGACTGGACTGCTAAAGTACGGATTCAAAAGGAACAATGGGTAAGTTTGGCCTTGGAGTTCAAAATGAAGCAGGGCAAAGGCTAATAGAGTTTTGTCAAGAGAACAAGCTGATCATCACAAACACTCTTTTCCAACAAAACAAGAGGCGACTCTACACATGGACATCACCAGATGGGCAATACCAAAATCAGATTGATTATATTCTTTGCAGCCAAAGATGGAGAAGCTCTATACAGTCAGCAAAAACAAGACCTGGAGCTGATTGTGGCTCTGATCATCAGCTTCTTATAGAAAAACGTAAACTGAAGAAAGTAGGAAAAACCACTTAGGGAAAAGTAGGAAAAATTACACTCAGGTATAATCTAAACCAAATCCCTTATGAATACACAGTGGAAGGGAAGAACAGATTTAAGGAACTAGGGTTGGTGGACAGAGTACCTGAAGATCTATGGATGGAGGCTCATAACATTGTACAGGAGGCAGCAACAAAAACCATCCCAAAGAAAAGCCGCTTTTGATTGGCTCGCGCCTTTTTTCCCTTTTCCGGTTCCGCCGCGGGAACGTCGTTTCTATCTCTAGAGGTACGAAAAGGTTAGACATGCACACATGCAAAAAGTACTGTATAGCCATAGAGGTAGAAAAAAGGTAGACAGACCCACTCTCAAAACGTCAAGTATACTTTTGAAATAATTTTCCACTCTTGGCTTGTTTGCAAACAAAGCAACACTAAGCCTACATTGGACCATAATCTGTTTTTCCCCCTACGTCTGTATTGCGCAATCTGTGCAAGAAGCATGATCCTGCATTATTAATGGTGTAACTTTCCATTCCAGCAGCTCAAGGGGAAACTGAATATACTGTCTAAAATTCAAAGCAAGGAAGAGCAAGCAGCTGGCAATGGGTTAGCAATGGTTGCTTCAGCTTAGGCTGGGAGAGTAAGATTTGGGAGTGTTTTCATGATTCCTGGAAAAAGTGAGTTTTAAGGATTTACAGAAAGCAAAAGGTGACACATCACAGAAGCATTTTGGGAGGTAGTCCAGCATATTGGGCAGTTAAATGAAACTGGGCCTCTTCAGACAATAGAGATGGAAGACTGAAAATAACCAGAAGAGGTGCAAAGAGGATTAATGGGTGGGCAGGAGGCATGGAAGCCTCTGGAATATATTGAAAATAAAGGGACAAAGGAGCTTGTGATTGATTTAGAAGGAGAAAGGAAGCCAACGTAGAGATTTAAGGAGGAACATTATGTGATCAGAGCAGGAGATGAGCAGCAGAATGAGGGAGTCAAGTTGAGAGCATATAAAAACAAAAGAGAAGATGGCAATACGTTAGGGCAGTGGTTCCCGTATGATGTCCCACCAAACCCACTATCAAAGAATCTGGTTTCCACCATGATAAAAATAAAAGTCTCAATTCTTGCCAGAAGGACACCTGTTGGCTTACAGGCATTGTTATGTGTCAATCATGGTTAAATGTGAAATTTTTTAAACAATTGTATGGTTGGAGTAAACACATAAAAGTTATTCCATAGGCAGCTAAATAATGTAATAACACTGATGGGTTGTGAGTTCTACTGCTGTTGTAGGTATAAAACAATGATGGTATGCAGGTTAACAAAACATTTAGAGAGACATGTTTCTAATAGGGACCTTATTAATAGAGAAATAAGTATCCCGCGTTACTGATTGTATGCTGTAAGTGAGTACCAGTTGTGAGCAAAGGTCACAGATAAAGACTCCATGACAAGCATGGATGGTAGGAGATTGCATGTCATACTTGCAAGGAGATACTAGGATTGACAGAGAGACCCAGTTGTTATGAAAATTCTTGAGTCCTGCCTAGACTTCTATATCTAACCAATGGTAAAGAACCAATGGGCAACAGATGAAAAGGACGTTGGTTAGAGAAAGGGCCTCCCCCCACCGCCCAAGTGTTGTAAAGGGACAAGGAGCATGATTTGGTGACACATTGGATGTTAAGAACAAATGAGAGGAATTAAAGAGAAAAAGGCATGCCTATTTCAGCAGGCTGGATATCTGTGGATAAATCTTTGGGGGACGGAAGGTCTTGAATGGAAAGATGAAAGCTCAGTTTTGAATGCTGAAATATTTCCAGGACAAGATTTACTTGTGACTTTCCAAACAGGGACTGTTATAATGACAGTGAGAGCTGGTAGCTTAATATGAACCTCCACATTGCCAGCTATTGAAAGAGGGAAAAATATACAAAGTCTGTTGATATATAATATAAACATTTTATTTTTTTCCTTTTTGATTTATCTGACATTTGTTTTTACAATATAGAAAAGTGTATTCTTTGAATAGGTCTAGTAAATATAAATTTAAATCTATTTTTAGGTGTAAACCAGAACTAGAAAATTGACCCCTCATGCCCTCCCCTCTCAAAATCTGGTGATGGTGAGTTTGATACAATAGCGCTTTACCGAGGTACTGCCAAACCATTTCTGTGATGGTCATGATGACAGAAATGTGGCAGAACCAGAAAGGGTTGCACCACAGAAGTGCTTCGTAAATTGCTCCCAAAATCTCCAATAACAAATAAGATATTTTAACCAACTTGTTTAGCAATTTAAAGTGAAGGGCCAAGTTTAAAGAAAAGGCATGAGGGAAAGGAGGATAAGACCCAAGCTACATACAGGAGAGCACTTTTTCTGAGACAGAAAACTAAATCTTTGATTGCACCTTCTTCAAATGTTTTACAGGCAATTCCATCATACATAATCTACAACTTGAATCCAAACTCCACAAATGGGCTTCAGCACACATATAAATACACATCACAAAAAGGTGCAAGTTAGAGTAAGACAGAATATGTACAAAATTAAACAAATTTAGTTCTAGCCCCAAAGATGCCATGTTTGAAAAATAACTTGATCAAGTATTACTTTATCCACTTACACTAATTTACATTTATACAAATCTCTCACCATATGGGTGCACATGGAATTAGGAAAAGCTGAGCCTTCACCTACTATGAAAGATTACCATAATGACTTATCTCAAATCAAGGGCCCTACTTGAAAAAAAATATGCTTACATGTAGAGCTTCCCTTTCAGGCTTGTGTGTACGTATATGCAAGTTTGATATGTGTATATTATATACACTGTTATATAACAGAATATACATGTACAGTTATATGGAGAGAAAAAAATCCCTTTCAAAGAATTGCAGAAGTATAATGACAAGGCAGACTAAAATCTCTAGGAAGTGCTTTCTAATTCAAACATGGAATTTATTCATGAAACATGAAACAACCTGCTTTGCTAGAAAAACATGCAATCACATTTCTAGCATCTGAATAGCATCTGTTATAAATGCTCTTGCTTTTAAGCATGTTCAGTCTGTCCTTTTTTGCCAACGAATCATTAGGTTTAGTTTTGTCTTAATACAGAGTATCAAGCTTACAAAATGCATTGCTAAAATACTTTAAAAATATAAAATAGGAGAGGCAATATCAATAGTACACATGGATGGCAATTAGTTTGGACAACTCAGCAGAATACTTACTAGGATTTAGTTTGCTTTCTGCTAAATGGGGGGGGGGGGGAGCCAATTTGTTTCCCTGCTGTTGAAATCCTGCTATATAGATGATGGATCTTACCTGCTATGCAAGCACATATGGTTTTACATAATGCTTTGGATAGTTTTTAACATGAAACTTCCATTGACTGATCCACCGCAGTCATGATCCAACAACAGGTGCACTTAAAGCCACTGAAACTAACAGGCTGAAGTGTACTAGTATCGAATAGTGACCAGTGTTTATTCCACCCAATCTGTGCATAGCTATCATTAAAAGAGCACACCACCTCATCATTAGAGTGAACACCATTTGGTGCACTCCATGTACGTAGACATAAATAGCTTCCATGAACACAACTGTTGCAATTCTTGCCTGATTTCTACATATTTCCACTGCCAATGGCTTGGATTGAAAATGCCACTTTAGATATGCTGAAGTGTGACTGAATTCTTCCCATGCCAACCACAACCTGATTGGGAACACTTTGCTGTGTGCAAATCTGAAATAGGGTGAGGAACTTAACATTTCAAAACCCAAGGAGGTTCACAACTAGGGTGTGGGTTTTGTTTTAATATTGGCCACAAGCACTCATGAGATCTAGGGAAAGGGTTGGGATTATTTAGTGAGCAAAAACATCTGGAATTTTATCTGGCCTGAGGGTTTTGCTGCCCCCCCTTCCAGCATTGAACTGAAAGGAATGGTATTGTGAAGTGCTGTTCAGACCCACTTAAGTCAACACATTTATAAGAGTATAATCCAATATGAGATGCTTTCTGTTCTATGCAGTGGAGGTGCACAAAGTATGAACATTTTAAAGAGGTCCTAAAATTGTAATTTATCTAACTATTCAGATAGTTACACTATCTAAGCTCTTGCTATAGCTCTAATAAAATACCAGGAAGAGAATTTTCTAGGAAATATTAGAAATATACTTGGAATCATAGCTGCTTGCTGAACAATGATTTCTGAGAAAAGAACCAGAGAAAAAATTGCCTTCAATCCTTTAGAGGTTCAAGGGATGTCTAGGAAATAGCACAAAGGTTAAAAGTCTCTGGTTACATTAAAATCTGTCCAAAAGTATTGATCGTCTCTGAAACCAAATGAAAGTAGTTCATTAAAATTTGGATTATGAACCACAGTGATATTTCCCCCCTCTTTTAAAAAAACTTATTTAAAAGATTGTTTTATACTAATCTGAATATGAGATATAATTTTTGACCTTGATTTTTGTATATCAATATTACAGATTTCTGTATCTAGCCCTCGTACTGTGTTGCTTCTAATCAACACAAGTAGGATTCCCACCAAAGTCATGATGGCAACCCACAAGACTACTGACAGATTTGCATCTCTTTATGTATTGCTTTTTTGGCAAACGTTTATTTTTATTGTTATCCTTTCAGCATTACCTGCCCCACAGATGCACTGTTATTTATATGGTGATGCAAAAAATATGTGTGATGTGGTGCTAAATGACTGTACTGGGAACATCTCTCCAAAATCCTGTATGATATTAGCCATCACATTTGCGCAAGAAATGTTCCCGATAGACTAGCTGGCATCTCTCCACCATCATTTCACCAATTCAAAATTCAACACTATACACTGGAAATCCTACTACTACTAATACTAATAATAATTAGTTAAAGAATGGCATGAAGAACATTTCTAAGAGGCAAAAAAACCATCTAAACTCTGCACACTCCCATATATTCTAGAGGCTGAGAAGGAGAAGTTCACAGGTGTCAAGTAAAAGAAAGCTAAGCTAAAAGAGTACTCATCATTGTAAAGCTTCACTAATAACATACACCAAGGGAAACTAAGCAGCACCCTGTTAAGAACAAAGAATGCTGCAATGAAAGTGTCCATGTGCCTTTTAGTGTCCCATTCAGACTATTTAGCTCATTTTCAAGAGTCAGCAGTTCATGGCACAATGGTCACTTTTCGACTTTCCTGCCGAGTTAATGATTCTCATCAGACAACGTCCAAATTCCTCCAGAATCATCCGTTCTGCAGCTGCCTTGGATTTGCCTGCCTTCTCGGCCTGCTCAGCCTGTGCAAGTAAGCAGTCACATGTTGCGTCAGCAACCTCTTTTGTTACAAATGCAAAAGGCAACCTGAAAAGAAAAGAAAAGGCTTAAGCTCCTGCATACAATACAGAGTTGGCAAGCAAATTTATTTATTTTAGAAAAGAAACAAGGTATAGGGGAAAAGCAAAGGGAAGATTTAGAGAGATAGTGCCAATGTAAATCCTCTTTAACTTTGAAGTACGAGTTACATGGTATTTTTCTTCCTCTTCTTTTGGTCATAACTTCAGAACACTATGTAAGAAATTACACTTGGTCAATCACACAGAAGTCAACATACCTCCCCCCTCCACTACTCAGCACTGGTGCTGGCCTGGTCAGGAGGTCCGAAATCTGTGAGGACAGCTTAGTTTTTGCAGCAGTTTGCTGTTGTACTCGTACTTCAGCAGCATCGGCCAAGTGCATCAACGTCTTCCGCTCTGGGCTTTCTTCAAAGTTCTTGCAACCAATACATTTGCAAATTGATGAACACATGATCTTGGCCTACAAGGAAACAAAAGGCAAACAAAATGTAATTTCTTTGTGTATGTTAGAACTGTGTGCATCATAGATTTTATGAAAGAGTGTAGAACAATATATCTGATAAAGTGTTAAAATGATTGCCTTTTTTAGGACACACCTTTCATTGTCTTCCAACGCCGCACTAGCCAAATAAATATGCCTATCAATACAGACCCTATAATAATCACCTTCTTTGCTTTCTGCAAATATTCTGAGGCTGTTATTCAGATGCTTCTTGTATCAGAGGTTTGTCATACAAGAACAAGGCTTTCTTAGTTGTGATATCCCAGTATTTATGTAGGTAAGCAGGTAAGTTCCTTCTCTCCAGCGAAAGAACCCAAACTGGCTCACACATTATTAAAAATAAAGCAACTAAAAACATGATAAAACTATTGAATTGAAACAATTAAGCATATTATAGTATTAAAACATTCAGGTAAAACGTATTAGAATACATGTTAAATAATAATGTGTACAGTATCCAAAATCAAAATTTTTCCCTACCCATTTCATTTTCAGAAGTCTGTCTAAAAATGATGGCTTCACGACAAGGCGGCGATGAGAGAGGGGTAAACTAGCCTTGCGGGGGCATTCCTCAACATGGGCACACCCGAAGCGAAAGGCTTCCCACCAGATATGTTTGTGAAAGCAGTGGGACTGAAAGGAGGACTTAGTTGGGAGGGCTTGTATGAGGTGATATCATCCTTCCAATAACCCGGACCCAAGCCATATAGGACTTCATAGACAGGAACCATGAACTGGGCCCGGAAACAGACAGGCAACCAATGAAGCAGTTACTTGTATATGCTCCTTTTACTGGCTCCAGTCAAATGAGGTGAGGGGCAATCTATAAGGGTTTTTAAAAAATCCAAGGATATGGCCATTACAAAATGCTGGAGATTTTCACCATGCTCTCACAAGTGCCTCAAGGCCCAGATTCAGTCTCCAGGTCAACAAGCAGGTTGTTATGGGCTGGCAACAGCTCTAGACTTCAAGCAAGCACATAATGTTATTATTGCATTCTAATTTTGGTCCTTAAAATACTCAGGATTTTTTCTGGGAGGGTGGGGAATGAGCTGATTCAAGGCTGAACCACAGAACGATGGTTCGGAAATGGTACCTGGAGAGGAATGAAATAAAAACTATTTCAAGTCTTACCTCATAACATTCACAGTAGTTTTTGAGGCATCCAGACCGCTTGCAGTTGCATCCTTTGCTGTGCCGCCTGTCCGACTCACCTTCTTTCCCCTTCCCTATCTTGGGTTTGAATGCTTCAGGGTTTCTGTCAAGGCAGGCCTAACAAGGCAGACGCAAAGAAGTCTGTCACTGTACATGTAAGGAACACAAATGCTGGAAACTCAATTCCATCCTTTCCCAGGAGGAACTGGTGAACATACTTTCATCTAATCCATATAAGGCAATGATCATGCCACCACCATTCATGCTTATTCCAGAAAGGGTACTAAAAAGCAAAGGGGGGAATCTACTTTTCAAAGATGCCTATTAGGTGAATGAACAAACACCATAACATTCTCCCACTGTTAAGTAGAAATGTGAATTGTACCTTGATAGCTTTTTGTCTGTCATTTTCATGCTCCAGGTTGTTGTAACAATTTGTACAGTTGCAGTTGTTGCAGAACTCGCCATTGGCAAAGCAATCGCAATACCTGAAAGGAAAGACCCCGAGGATGCTTGAAACACGTGGCCAAAGCAATGCGTCATGAGATTAGCATCAGCCAACTTCCCCACTTTGCTCAACTGCCTGCTAGAAAGGCTCACATGATGGCTAAGAAAATCTGCAGAATGGGAGACCTATGGCACAGAGAGCAAAGACTGAAAGGGGCGGGGGAATTCCCTAAATCCACAGAGAGGCAATTTTCTGGCCCATCTCTGGATCCAACCCAGCATCTGCACAGCCTGCTTAAATATGAATGTAAGGGAGGCACCTGTTCCTCTACCCAGGCTTCTAAATGGATTTAACAATGATACCAGAGCCTGCTTGCAGAATTAAAAAATGAATTAATAATTAAACCAGAACTAACATAGAATTTGTTCCAACATACACATATCATGGCTAGTGGGAAATTTAAACTTTTAATATCTGAGGCTCGTAACCGAATTATACTTACAGCTTAAGACACAATGATTTTGTACAGTTGCATGGTTTTCTGGGACGATTTGCAGATTCGGAGGGAATTATTCTGAAAAACGATATTGAGTGTTATTTCAGATATTTCTTTCCAAAGGCCAAGCAATTATCTTAGCTGCTAACTGCACATCTGAAACACACAATGTTGCAGAGCTCTTTGTTCACTCAGATCAGCCTACACAAGTCAAGGCATGCAGGAGAGACCAGGAATACCACAGAACACACAGAATACCAGAATAAATGACAATAGAAAATGACATGCCAGAATTCCCAATCTGTATGCCAAAAGAAAAATATCCAAGAATGGAGAAAAGGTTTAAACAGACTCTTACGACTTACATATGTTGGTACACGTCAGTTGGCATAAACATTAGCAACAAAGTGGGACTAGCTAAGTTTTTCCCCTAAGACCTGGACACAATATTCTCTGTCCTACAGCAGTCACATGACTTGGCACACAACAACAAATACAAACTTATGAGCTAGTGGCAATTCTCTGCTGAACTTTGTGCCAATGCAATTATGCCAGTATAATGATTCAGAGCACAACAGTCCATTTAAAATATCTCTCAGACCACCAGTCATTAAGGAAAAGCCTGCCTGAAGAGAATAAAGGTCTTTGCCTGCCTCTGTGGAAGGACAACAAAGATGGGGGCAGCCAAGCAGTTTTACTCTACTGAAGAATTAGGTGTAAGCATGTAGTTCAGTCACCCAAAATGTGAAGATACAGCACAGCCACTACCCAAAGAAGGCACACTGTCATTAGGACTCAGCGTAAGTCATTGTTTTGGACTTGCTCTTTCTATTCTCCAGTCAGAAAGCACAGATGATGACCTCTTCCTAAGGCACAGAATCTCACTCTTCCTTCTACACATTGTAGAAATATTTTGTTCATGCCACCGGAGTACTGTTTCACACTATCAGAAATAGCGTAAATACTGAGCCACCTTCATCTAAACATTCCATCATGATTTAAACTATTAACCAAGTCTGCTTCTGTCTTTCCATCATCACAGCCCACAAGCTTCAGAGAATTGTTACAGGTACTTGCCACTTCCTTTGTGGGTCTCTCTTCCCTTGGATTGGGACACAATCCAATCCTTACCATTTTATGGAAGTTTGTATAAATTGCATAACTATAAAAGGAGCGGACAGAGGATAGCTGCCAGGATTGCACTTTAGTTTAGTTTACTATTTTGGCCATTTTCATAATTTTAATAAAATGCTTTCTACCCTGAAATCCTTGGATTGGTATAAAACAAGCGCCAGATGAAATTAATAAACAGAAGGCAATCAAGCACCAAAACATGCGCTAAAAAGAAAAGCATTGGAATAACCTTGTATTTCAACCATGGAAGGAAACATTTTGCTGGTCCTGAAAAAGTACACTGAGCTTGCAGCAGCTGAACCTGGACTACACCCCCATATCTGCTTTTTTTCCAATTCATTCTTTTTCCATATGGCTGAAATGTTGTGCAAAATAATAATTTATAATTCAGCTACAAAGCAATACACACCCATTGAATGGCAGTCTGGCTTGCGTCTGGATACTAGACGTTCCACTAAGGCTGGCATTGCTTGCTATGGATACATAGGATGATTGCTGTAACTAGAAAGGCATAATGTTAGCACATTACTTACTGTTTGTAAGTAGTAATTATTAATCACACCTTATTCAGGGCTTAGGAGACAGAAGATATTGCTCATTGCTATTTAGAGGTAAGAGAGCTTTTGCTACTTCTGGATTATTATCTGTATTCAATAAGGACATAGGTGTCTATGAGAAACATAAGCTGTTTTGCATTCAATCCTGTAATAATTATTCTCTTGTCACACTATGGGTCCTTTTGCTATTGCTGTTAAAGGACTAAGGGACTGGAACATATCTGGATGAAATTTCACTATATGGTTTTCTAGAAATTATTTTTCTGATACAAAAATAATGAATACTAAAGCAAAGTAATAACAAAATTGGAGATGGACACAAAGAGCCAAAGAGGAGGAGGACAGGAAGATGTTCCCTTCCCTCGCCTCCCCAGCCAATAACCCACTCACCATTTGGGAGCGTGTTCCTCTCTTCCTCCTCTTCAGCTGTTCCCCAGCAGGAGCCTCCCTGCCTGAATGAGTGATCAGCCAAAGAGGTGGGGCAAGGCAGCTCCCACCGGAGAATGGTCAAACAGCGGAAGAGGAAGAGGAGTGCAAGCTGGCTGGTAAGTGGCGTATCCCGGAGGGAAGAGAACGCGTGGCACATGTGGTGCCGCACATACGAACTTGCACAAGCTTCTGAACCGAGGTTCATGCCCACCTCTGAACAGAATGGTTAAACATCTATGAAAAGCTGTTTTTATATGCTATCACATCTGGACTGACTTATAGTAACCTTAATAGGACTTGCAAGGTAAGCAAGATATTTATGGAGTGGTTTTACCAGTTCCACACTCCCAGTGAGTTTCTGTGGCTGAGCAGTGATGTGATCTCAGCTCTCCTGAGTCCTAGTCCATCACTCTACTACACCACACTGGGTATCCAGTGACTAAAAGCTAGGGACTAAAAAAGAGTCTGCCAAAAATGTAACTTCAAAGTGATGGGGAAACTATAAGTAAAAATTAGTTTATATCTTCATGACTTTTTCTTTTCAGTGTTTGGCTTTTCTACACTGTGTTTCTACCAGTATGATCTTATCTTTATCTTTACAAAATAATTAATATGTTTTGCATGGCTTCTGAGAAAACAAATCAACCAGTTTTTTGTTTTGTTTTGTTTTGCTTTTCTTCTTCTCTTTAGCTGCAGATATCACACAATGCTAAACTTCTGTAAGAACTGCAGAAGTTAGGAAGGCAGCTGCCATTTGCTCAATTTTTATGGTTTGCTTACTTTGGAGAAGTAGGGAAATCTTCAGAAAAGATGTCTGGGGTCTCACTTGCCTTTCCTCAATCTCCCTTTTGCAATACCACCTCCCTGCCCCCAGCATTCCAAGGACCTCTGTGGGCATGAGGTACAAAGAAATGGCTAAGTTGAGATCTGTAATTAGTTTTGTCAGTTGAACTTGGTTTTCTAACCCCTGTGGATCCTGTTTCAATCCGATTGTTTTTTCCAGATCTAAAATCCTGCATCTGAATCCCATTTCTCCAGAAAGAGCACCCTCTTCTATTCTGAAATCCTTCAGTTTCTCATGGGATTTACTCTGAGCAACACAGGCACTCCTTCCTCATTAATTATTTCAGCCATGTTCATCTGCAGACCAATGCTTTACCTGTGTGACATACTGAGCTGGAAGAACGGCGTATCCAACATTCCCTGTACCAGGGGCTGGGGCCAACACAGTACCCGCAGGAAGGTTGGTGAGGTTTGGCTGGATTTGTGGCAGTGGAGTGGCAGGCATTATAAGTCTTTGCTGCGGCTGGCTTGTTGTGACCATCTGTGACGTTGTGTTAATTGGTTTGGGCGCTACCTGTAAGGAAAGACATTTTCATGAGGATCTCTTGCTGCACAGAAGATCTGTGGAATTCTGCAGGGATTCCTGAGAATTCTTTGGAGAGTGCAATTAACGGAAGGCATCTGTTGAAAGCTAGGGATTCATATTAATTGGGGGTAAGAAGAACTCACTTGTTTGACAGTCTGTGCTGCTGGGACGATTGGGACTGACATTCGCACAGGGGTTGCGTTCACCACCATTGGCTTTGCTGTTCAAAAGAAATCATATCAGATACAACATGGATACAACAAGGCCCACCTTGACTTTTACCAAGTCCAATGAGAAAGTGTGTCCTCTTTGTGCCATCAGTTCAGAAAAGTAGAGAGAAGCAACACTGTTCACTATACCTGTAAATATTGCTACTTTTAAAAGATCAAAAACTTCCAATAAAAGGTGGTCTCTTGGCCAAACACAACTACCAATCTGAACCTCATAACAGAGTAACAAAATCAAAGCACAGTTCTCATTTATGTAATTACATGACATATGAATAAATTTAAATATTTTGATACATTTATACAGCATTAGATAAGTTTCAAATTCATTTACTTTGCAGAGTGTTGCCACTTACAGAGCCAAAAAGATAATAGATCCACATGAGAATAAGGTATTAGCCAAGCAGAGAAATCTGAAGTTTTTTGTTTATTGTCCTAATATTTATTTCATGCACTTTTAAATCATCTACTAACACAATTACTCTAGGCAACATGTTATCTTTCAGAAAAACACAAAACTTTAAGATGCAACCATATTATTATACAGTATACAGGGCTTGAAAAATTTTAGAATGTCTCACCAGTCAGTCAAAAATTTCACCACTCAGCATGACTGGACTATAGCTTTGCAATTTATTGGGACTGAGAATCACTGATTTATACCCTCAGACCTGGGTTGCTTTATAACCTGTATACCTGTAGAGTTATGAAGCTTGTATTTTGAATGGCTTTTTTTTTTAATGTTTCCAGCAAAAATAAAACTGAAAGCAAAAGCGCCCGGCCTTTTAAGGAGCCACAGTTCCCTCCAACCCCAGGATGTGTCCTTGTTCGGTTGAAATTGGGAGCAGAGAGAGAGGCGGAGGGGAAGGAGGCAGGCAGAGAGAGAGCTGTAACTTGTCGAGCAGCATTTTTCATCACAGACGAGTGGACGAGTGCATTTTTCAAGCCCTGATTAGATACTTATATTGATCCTTACGCAAATAAATCAAAACAGTCCAGTGACAAATTAATATGCAGTATTTAACTGCTGATTGTTGAGAGGAAAAAATGTTGCTTTCACATTGTTATAGGCATCAAAACCAAAAGAGTGTAAAGAATCTGGAAGAAAAGCATTTCACACTATAAAATTTTCTTGCAGGTCTCACTTTGTTGTGCTGTTTCTGACATGAATGTTTTTGCTTACATAGCCAGTTAGGTACAAGAGGGAATTTTCAGTAGACTATGATCATCCCAAGGTGCACAGAAGTTTGAAATGTCTTCAGGAAAAAAAACCCTACTCAACATAAATGGAATGTGCTCATTGGCCACAAAACGCTGAATGCAGGGGTGAGACTGAGAAAGAACTAATAGGAAATATAGAAAATTTTCCCAGTGCAAGGGCAGGCATTCAGTTTGCAGATTTACTGTACTAAATATGGAACATCAGCAAATCCTTACCTTATTTCCTTTATATTGTTATTAACATTTCAAATTAGCATGAAAACATTCAACTACTAACCTTGCTGGAGGGATGCTGTGCTGGTGCTGGGATTCTGCACAGCTGGCTGGGATGAGCTGTTGGCAGTTGTAGCAGTGACGAGACGAATATAATGGAATTTGCTTCCAGGTACCTGAATTTGCTGAACATTAGGTGCTGTTGCCAAGGGAATTATGGTCTTAAACTGAGATGTGCTTACTCCGCCTACAGTGAGGGTTTGTACTGCAGATTTCACAGCCTGCAAAACAACAATAAAATTACTTCTATGGTGTTGATATATCAACCTCTTTTTCAGAGCTGCCTAACAAATCAGTGTTTCTAATGAGGGCTAGCATTATCCCCCTTCATACGTTTCAGATTAAAGTACAGATAAAGGAACACATGAAAACGCGCTTAGTGTTGTATTATTATTAGGCTGGGATCTATCTGTTGGATATAATAGACTACTGTTTGTTTCTAGGGTTGCTTTAAGAGGTTTTTTCCCCAGTCATGATTCTTTTGAACTTAGCAGAACAAAGCAAAATTTGTATAGATGTAGACCAGTCAACAACATATAATAACATGTAATAAGAGAGGGAGGCCCACTGAACATACCTGAGCAGTAGTATTGTTAGCAACAGCCTTTCCTGGAGAAGATGGTGTTGAATGCTGCACTGTGAGAATCTGCTGTCCTAAGGCTACATTGAGAGGAACGCCCACTGTTTTCTGTGGGGAGCTTGGAGACTGGGAGGCAACCGACACCACTGTTAACTGCTTAACAAAAATCAAACATCTCAAGTTAAACTATTTTTAGTAGGCAACTACAAGGACAACATGTGCATGATGTAAACACAAAAGAGGCAAAGGCTTTTCATGCTGTTGATATAGTGGTGCTGTCAGGGCAGGATGCAGGGAAGTGGTTGAGGTCCCCAACACAGCAAGGCTGCCCTGCCACATTTTGAAGTCAAGTACTGTAGTACAATACCACTTAGAAAGGAGAGATCTTAAGTCCAGATACCATTAAATCCAGGGTCTAAAATTACCTAATTGCATTGCTACGTTGGTACACCAGCAGCCTCATGTGGAGAACACATACCTGTCATACTTCATTTATTTAGAAAATTAATAGCATATTTATTTATTTGATTTATATACCGCCCCATTAGTGAAACCAATACTCTGGGTGTTTTATAGGTTAAATTTTGGCTCCACAAAACCCCACATAACAAAATACATTCAACAATTGGTGATCTGACAATGCAGGTCTTAAAATTAACATTTAAATTAAAAGCATGCAGGAGAATCAATTGTTGAGGACAGATTTGAATTTTGTTTTCATCAATTTGTTGAACATAGGAAGGGAAGAAGCCTTGTGTATCTCAGATGGTAAGTTATTTTAAAAAAGGGAGCTACCACCAAGAAGGTCCAATTCTTTATCATTGCCTTTTATGGCTTTTCTTGGTGTGGCCACTTTTAGCAACATGGACTAAAAGAAGTGGGTGATTTCTGAGAGAGATATTCTGACAGGTCTTTAAGGGCTGTATAGGTCATAACTAGCTGATTTCTGAGAGAGACATTCTGACAGGCCTTTAAGGGCTGTATATATAGATCATAATCAGGACCTTGAATTGAGCATGGAAAATGACAGGGAGCCATGAAGACAGGGCAAAACTGAGGATACATTATTGAATTTACTAATTCAAGAAATCAGTCTGACTGCCATATTTCTGGCTTGCTGAAGTTTCTGTATTATTTTCAAGGGCAGACCTACACAGCATTAGTTTTGAGACTACTGATGCATGAACCATTATTGCTAGGCATTTTGTATCCAGGTAGGAGCACAACTGGGAAATCAACGGGACTTGATAAGGGGCATTCTTGGCCATGGGCAGTATTTGAGCCTTCATAGAGAGTGCTAGATCCAAGCTGCAGACCTGATCCTTCAAAGGGAGTGTAACCCAATCAAGGCTAATTAAGTTTCCCTGTAACCAGTCCAATGAGTATAATCTCTGTGATACCTGCTCATGTCAACTCTAGCAGGTGCTGACAACTAAGAATTGTTTGCAAGTGACCAGACTGGCAATTTTTATTTTATTGCAAATGCAAACAATAAACACAAGCACTGTCTTTTGCCCTGGTTTCCATACTGGTGATGCAGTAAGTCACAGCAACATGCAAAAGGATTTATTTTTCATGATTCCTGTGGAATCAGCAAGTGTAAATGAAGGGAATGGGACCAACTTTTCTCAGAGGGAAATATTTCTTGGCACAGCTGACTAGAGTAGCTGCTTATGACAGATAAAAACTGAGACCCATTTTCCCTTTCATGCAGTAGCAACAGCAATGCTCTGGAGAATATCCTGGACCTTTTGACACGAGTAGTATTATTATAAAACTTAACACATAGTTATATTCACAGGAAAAATAAGGATGGAGAGTATATGCCATCATGCGATTGTACAGGACTGCCTAAAACATAAAATTAAAAGATATATAAAATTCATAATGTTGAATATGACCACAGCAAGTACAATATGAATAAGAGCAGCTCTCACTATTTATTTAATGTCTGCTTTAAAAAAACATTATCAATCCCAATTAATGTTTGTATACCTGTATCATTTTACAGTATCTTAGCAAACAGGAGCTGTCTGTGGTACGAAGCAACTACTCATTTTGAGAAAATTTTGTCCAGCCAGAGGGTGTTGATATTCTGACAATTCCAGTTCCATTAAAAGTAATATAAATAGAAAAATAGATGGTAAAGGATTTTTTAAAAAACAAATTAGAAATTCATTTAAGATGAATATATCCACTAGTTGCGACAATGAGATTAGCACTATGATACAGAAATTATACAGAAGTAAGTTATCTGGACTATGTACCTTATTAGGCGATTTCAAGGGAGAGATGGCTATCTTGTTTGGTGCCTGCTGTAAGGAAGAATTCAAAGAAGTTGCAGTAACTCCACTTTCTGAGATAGTTACAGTCTTTGGAGGTGTTCCTGGAGTAGTCTGAGAAACAACCCTACCTAAAGAAAACAAAAGCATGGAGACATCTTTATGATTATAGTCGATACTGTCTTTCCAGTCTAGGCGAGAAACCACCAATGTTAAGCACTTCATCAATTCACTTGTTCAGTGCCACCACGCACAAGAGTTACTGCCTTAATACCAACCTTTCCCTCAAGTAACTGAACAGACATGTCTTTGATTTTTTAAACCTAATTCTTACAACAAATGGAAGAATTCAAAGATAAAATGAATTTTAAAAAAATAAGGACAAGAAAAGGTTGGCAGTCTAGTAAGCCATCATCCAACTGAAAGTCAAAACTTCCAGTTAAAAAGCCTGGCCATTCCTCTCCTAACTGTGTTAGCAAGATGTAAATTTAATAGCACAAATCATAAGACACACATCATCTTTGAAATACATTGATCAGAATCTTTTTAGCATAACTTAGCATAACCATACAAGCCAGGTGATATCAACCGGTTATGAGAATATTTAATTTAAATTAATTGAAAACTTCCTGCCCCACCCCCTTTCAGGTTCCAAGGCTCCACAGGTCTCTCTTTTGCCCTGAATAAGCCTTTGGGAGCCTCAAAATATTCAAAATTCACTGGATTTTTCTTTAATCAAGCTGAATTTACTAATCATTTTGTTTGCTTACATCTTGACAGCAAGAGTTTTCATCATGCTATAAAAATGATGATAACATTTTTACTACTATCCAGGACTTAGGAATGTAAAAAGCACTATGGTGAAGAGAGATGAGACTGCATACCACTCTCAAAGCATAAAGATACAAGGTGAAATCCAATTGTCTCTGTCCACCATTAGAATGGATAGGACTTGCAGAACGGATAACCTCCTTCCTATATATGCTTGAGGATGTTATGTTAATGGATAAATGTAATGTATCTCGAATTTTGATTGTGTGCATGTCTATTCTGGCAGGAAGTGCATATTTGCAACTATTCTTGTTTTTATAGTGAAGGACAAATATTTTCTCCTGTCTAAATCGAACAGAATAAGTAAGGTAACATCCCCCCCAAAAAATATATCCAGTTTATATTTTAGTTTATGAATGCTTTTGCATCATAGGAACAATAGAATCATTTCAATAACCTAGAAACTAGAACACCTTGAATCATCTCTTGACTTTTATTTTAAGTACAATCAAGTTTTGCAGAAACACTTAGGGGGAGAGCTAATGTCTTGATACCTAGTCAGTAACTCGGATAAAGCAATAGCAGCCAGACAACACTTCAGAGCCAGCCACTGTTGGTTGTATTTCTGCCTTCTGGCACACATTTATAAAGCAGGCAAGCTTGTCATATGTACCACATGCACACTGGCTGCCTGCATCTACAGAAAAGAGCTTCTGAACATCTGAGGAAATGATAACACAATGTTGTTGTTTAGTTCAAACAAATGTTAAAATTAATGATCCAAGTGATCTGTAAGCTCCTTAAGACTCCAAACTCTTAACGTGCTTTCCATTTGCCATGGGCACAACAGTCAGTGAGATTTCATAGAGCCCTGTGCATACTCAAAAAGCATTTTGGGAGCATATAGGAACTGAATTTTCAATTATCCCTTCCCACATTTAATGCTACTCTGCAAGAACCCCTGGGTTCAGGAACATATATTTATGGTGGCTTGGAAAATAGTGACAGATATTCTCCATCTTCAGGATGGAGAGACAATTAGCAAAAGCCCCCATGAACACCCAGCCCATTGCATCCCAGGAAACATGTGACTCAGTTAATTCACATACTTGAAAAAAAAAGAGCACAATGAAAAAGGCACAAATATACATATACATACATACGTACATACATCTATTTTATATATTATACATACATACATACATACATACATACATACATACATACATACATATATTTTATATATTAAAAAAAAAAACCTGCAATGACTGGTGAGACTTGAGTTGTCTGCCCCGTGACTGCTTTGCTATTGATTGGCTTTGTGAAGATCAACTTTGTGATCACTGGGGCTGAAGTTGGTGTCCTGGTTTTCTTAGCAATCTGAAAAACAAAGAAGAGAAAGCCAATACCCACTCCATTCATTCAGACATTATTCCTGCTTAACGTGCTCTTTACACCAGTGAAAACTAGCTTCTTCAGTCTGGAAAGGTGGATGTTTTCCAGATAACTGCAAAGGGATGGCGAGGGTGCTAAATCTACCTCTAACTGAAGAGCCTATAAAATCAGAAATGAGAGAACTTAACAGCCTCTTGGGTCACACAGTACCTTTCACCTTTCGTGCAGGGAAAGGAACTGGCTGGTGGAGAATATTGGCACTGCCGTTGGCCTGACTAGAGCCTTGCTTCCTAGCAGTTACCAAATGCACATAGTACTTTACAAGATAATCTAAGCAAGAGAGACATCCCTGGCCCAAGGTACTTGGACTCTGAATTCAAACAGTATAATCTATATGGGCTGTGACTGTGCAAATCAAAGACAGGCAAAGATAAAGGAATCAAAATGACACTGAAGTGTTCACCTCAATCAACGAAAGCTACCTGGTGATGAAGCTGAATATATGTTATACGGTGCACTATAACTGTTAGAGTTGTAGTGCACTTTATAACTGTTTTTTGGGCTTTGGACATAGAGTGTCATTTTAATTCACACAAATATTTGCTGTGATATGAACAGAAAGCTAAACAGAAGAGCCAGAATTTAAGTCTTCCTACTGGTTTGAAGCAGCAGTCACTAATTTCAGAGAAACAGTTTACTCTGTTTTTGTCTTAAAAACAACAACACAAGACTACCTCTATATTTCTGTATTAACAAACATAACCACAACCCTGAGGTTGAAGACTGGCTATCTTCATGAATCAATACTGTATTGAAGTTTCACTTCCTGCACGTGTTTATACACATGTACAGACAAGAGTTCTCACTCATTCTCACCTTCTCTTTACACAGACAACTCAATGTCATTTTCCATTGCAATACCACATTAAGTCTGGAGGCTGTTCCACAAGAGCCAATTCCTGTTTCTACTCATCATTAGTGATTTTTACTTTCTCGTGGTTCCTGGAAGGTATCCTCTAACTCCTTTTTTGCTGCAACACATTTATTTATTATTTCTCATTCATCCTATGTCCACAGATGTCAGAGCAGGTACAATCAAGAATAAAAGTCAATACAGAATCGTAAACAGAATCCACAACCCAGTACCACCATCAAAATCAGTACTAACAACCCAAAGAAAGATAACAAAATTGAGCTACGACCACTAAGAGCCAAAATCTTGAACAAATAGCCTCATCTTAACTCGGTGCCACAATAAGACCAACACTAAATAGCCCTTTGGGGAAGAAATATTCCATAATCATGATATCAAAGCAAAAAAGCTGCCACTTCCATCTCCACATGATGTACATCTGCCATCACTGAAACATAGGGAACGGCCCCTTAGGCAGTTGAACACAGTATGAGGTCTACACTCAAACATCCATTTCTGTATGTTACACCCACAATTATTATTTAGAATAACTTTTTATCTCTACTATGATTCAATGTTGCTTTACATCTTGCTTACTGATTCCCTTGGGTCTCTTATCTGCCAAGCTTTGTTCCACAACGATTACTGTAACAAATGGAACCATCCCATAAGAGAGCAATTTTTTTCAAAAGAAGTATAATTAGTAGAACAACTCCTTACCTGCACTGTTTTCAGTTGCTGAGTCTGCAATACAGAAGATTGGGTGGTAGTATTTACCAATTGGCTCCCTGGAGTCAAGGCTGACACACCAACGACAGGTTTCACTTCTGCCCTTCCTCCAATAGTTACCACCTTGAATTGCTGTGCTGAAACCTTGGAGTCACTTGTTTGCACCTGTGATGTTGCCTTCTGAGACTGTGATAGCTGGTTGTGGGGCAATGCTAGAACAATTGGCTGTCCAGGCTTCCCTAGAGTTGTTACAATGAGCTTTTGTCCTTCCTGTTGTAAAGTCTGTTTACTAATTTTCAGATCTGTTGCCTTGTTCAGAATGATCTGATTGGCTGATATAGTGACAGGAGCCTGAGCACCCAGTTTTTGGAGGCCGCTTTGAAAGGAAGGTTGTATAGTCACATCAGTATCAGTGTTTGTTATGGCAGCATTGCCCGTGAGATGGCTCACACAACTGCTAGGCACCGTTACAATCTCTGTGGTGATCGAGGATGGAGCAGCAATAGTAGAATCACCAATTGAGCTTACATTTGCCATTCCTTCCAGTTCCGTTTCCATAGGAATGGAGTCACCCACAATTACAGCCTCAATGTTCTCATCCTCCTCCAGCTTTATCCCTGTGTCCATGATCTCTTCGGGAAGCAGGCTATTCACCTCCGCGGACACCACCTCCATGTTGCAAATGTAAGTGGCAGGCTCAAGATGAGACACTGCAGTGATATTCAAAGGAAATACAGTTTTTCAGTGCTACAACCACAGACAGATCATGACTAATGAAGAGGACACTCTGAAATGCGGGGGAGATTACATCACTGCAGGTTGGACTTGATTTAAACCAAACTGATTTAAATCATCATTTAAAAAATGTAAATCAGCTTTTCAAAACAATTTAAATAAAAAAACATTTAAATTGTGATTTACTTCAACTGGATTTGTAAAAGGCATTAATATTTATTCACTTTGCACCACTGACAAGTTGCAATGGTCAACAAGAACACACAAGTTCATATCAGAGCTGGGCAGGGTATGACTCGAGGATAGCATATTGCCACCCAGGGATCCAAATGTGTTTCCTAGCATTTCTGAGTCCGCTAAAACAGATTTTGCATTTTCCAAAATAAACTTTTGTCTAACAAAATCCCCTTATGCTCTCTAAACGAAGACAATTCTGCCATGTTGGGGGGGGGGCGGCAGCATTCTTGTCTTATACACATTCCACATAAAATTTCTTTAATTTTTAATTAAAAAACATTTTGGTCACTAAAGCACTTAAAGGCACTTTTCAGCAGAAATGCCTTTTTGAAAGAAAAAATATATTCTTTTGCACAATGCAAAAGTGGCCCTCCAAGGCCCATGGTGGGATGGGTGTGACCCTCAGATCTATGGAAGATGCCCTCTGTAATATATGTACAATGTCAATATCGTTGAATCTTCTGTTGTTATATGCTGGTCTTAATTTTTTTTTTGAAAGGCTTTACATGACTTGTAATGTCTAATGCCTAATTGCAAATGCAAAAGTGGCCCTCCAAGGCCCATGGTGGGATGGGTGTGACCCTTAGATCTATGGAAGATGCCCTCTGTAATATATGTACAATGTCAATATCGTTGAATCTTCTGTTGTTATATGCTGGTCTTAATTTTTTTTTTGAAAGGCTTTACATGACTTGTAATGTCTAATGCCTAATTGTATATCAGTCATTCTCAATTTTTCTTTTGCCTCAACCATAAACACAATATGAAAGAAATATAGGCCAAATCAAGATTGTATGAGTCACATAATGAACCTTATAAGGTGGTGTGTAAAGAGGTGTTTCCAGTCTGTGGCCCCTTCAAATATGTCAGGGCTCCCTTTGAAAATGGCACATGCATCTGTTTTTGTGTTAAGGGCAAAGTGTTGTGAAAATTTTGATATGCAAATAAACTAAATAATAACAATGACTGTAAAACTACCATCTACACAGTGTCAATGGAAATTAAAAGTTTGGCCCCAAATCTCAGATTGCCACTACTACATATAACAAGAATGTTCACTGACTATTTTGAGTGCTGGTGTAATATGATGGTTAAGAAACTGAACTGCAAATCAGAAAGGGTCAAATTTCCCATCTGCCATGAACCTGGCAGATATTCTTGGGCAAGCCATTTTCTTGGCCTCAGACCACTCACGCTGAAATATGAAGAATAATGATTTGCTTCATTGGGTTGCTGTAGACATTACAATTAAGTAATGCTTGAGAAGTGGTCTGAACAGCTGAAGGCATTATGCCAGAGTGGAACAGCATTTTTAAATTTAAGGACCACATTCCTTCAAAGTGATATGGGTTGATATGGGAGCTTTGTATTTTTATTCCGAAGGACATGAATAGAAAACTTGGCACCACAGGTGCCAGGGTGCTCCATTCCCACCTCCCAGAACTAGCGACCATATGAAATACAAACAAAAAAACCACCCATTCTACCTTATAACATTACCTGAATCCCTTTTAAGTCTTGTTCCACATCAGACCACCTCCAGAGGCTTCATCATAGAGCACTGTCTGCTGAGACGAAAAAAAAAAAAAAAAAAAAAGGAAGTTTCAAAAGTCACAGAATGATGCCCTTTATAAATTAGTGTACTGTATTAACAAATGCTACTGTCAAGATGGCAAAATTAGAATAATGAACAACAACAGAGAAAACCTGCAAGCAAGGCTTCCTCACAATCTGACCAGGTGGGAGGGGGAACTGTAACAGTCTGAATTTTGTCTTTATAAAGTATTACATCATTAAGGTTATAAGAATTGTAACCTTGGAAATGTGATTATATCATGGAGGTCTGAACTGCTGGTAGAGGTTACTTCAGGACAAAGAGATCTAACCTTGAAAATTAAAAAAGGAAAAGAAAAAAGTAACCTTTTAAGTAGCAATGTACAGATTATCCATCAGAAGTTGCTGCAGAGTAAATTAAAGATCTCCCATACAATCCCATGCTTTCTTCTAAAACAGTGAAGCCTATGTAAAAATCCACTGGGTCTGCAACTGTAGTTAGTCCCATAGAAAATTCATGGACTTTGCTACCAAAACAGACTCAGTGAGAAAATGTATTGAGTATGCTAGGTTAGGAGAAAAAGAAGATAAGAAAGAATGATCTTGTTTCTCCTTATCAGCAAACGGGGTGAGATTTTGCTTTAAACTGCTAATATTAGACTATGCAACTGGAGTGAAAACATGTACACAACTGATAAGGATACATAAACATCCATGCCTGTAAAAGGACTGGTGTAAGCAAGCTGCCTACCAGCCAAGAGTCAACTAAGCCAGTTCAGCCACAATGGAACTGTGCCAAACTGAGCTGAGAACCCAGGGGTAGGGTGGGGAAATAAAACAGGAGAACACAGAGGTAACACACAGAAAACATGGATTTTCCTCCATAGATTTTAATTGGCAGATCGCTGTGGGAGCATGTAAGAAACTTAGTATTTCTACTATTATAGATGTTTACTAATTTTTAAAAAGATGTGTTCTTAAAGCTATAAGCTCTTGTATTTTTGGACTGAAGAAAGATATAGGTTCTTGTTTGCAACTTTTTAAAGGAAAAAGCTTACAATTGAAAGATGTTTGTCTGACTTAAGTATTTGCCTAAAACTCCCATATATGCATATATTTGTTCTTCATATATTTTTAATTACAGTATATGTATCTATATAGCTTAGCTTATTGATTTCTCAAAAAGTTACATGTTTTCAGTAACTTCTGGATTTTTATACATAGAAGCAGTGTGGATGAATAAAGCTTGAAGAAATAAGACAATCTAATGTTGCCTGGACTCCTTTTTCTGTTTACTTCACTATGAGTGGAAACACTGATTTATTCCCATCCCCTATAGATCACGCTTGGAAGCTACAATCCTGGTGAACCAGCAGGAGCAAGTAAATGATTTATACCTTGATACCCAGATGAATTTAGATTTAACTGTCATGATCATCCATTTCAAACTGGTATTTAACCCTTTTAGAGATAAACGTTAGTTGTTACAGATCATGACAGACTCAAACTACTAGGAGGGTGTTATGAACCATATAAGAACATACTGTGTTTATGTTTAGTTGTTTAGTCGTGTCCGACTCTTCGTGACCCCATGGACCAGAGCACGCCAGGCCCTCCTGTCTTCTAAGAACATACTAAGAAAACAAATTTGCAAACAACTGATAACATCATTTGTTCTATTGTTTACTAAAAATACTGGAGGGGTTGAGAGGGGGGTTAATAGCGTATTACCTTTTATTGTTTTGCAAGTATGCTAATGAATTTTTTTTGCGCCCCCAAAGTTCAAATAGTATGGATGGCTGAGAGACGTTTCATGGAAGAAACTCTCTTACATGGAACATCTCCATATAAGAAATGTGTTATAAGTGAAGTCACTTTACAACAGTGAAGAAGAACTCTGATTTAAGACACCCACCTGCAACAAAAAAACTAGCTAAGTAAAAAAAAAATGACAGGTGGTGTTTGCAAACTTAGGCCAGAGATTCACAAGCATCTGATCGCACAAGCACATCTTTCTTCTCAATTAAGCTTGGATGCATTATTTATTTTTACACCTAAAAAGACTTACTTTTACGTTGTGTATAAAAATTTCTGCCTTCTGAAGAAGTCAATGTATTTCTGAATGTGTCCTGATATTGGCACACCTGCTCACTGCAAAGATCTATGCCTAGAACAGACACACAGACACACACACAGAAACAGCCTCTTATGAGATCAAGACACTCTGCCAAATCCCTATGTAATGCAGATGTCCTTCAAAATAACCTGAGCCTCAGTGGAGGCTGATTGACAAGAGGCCAGTGCCGAGACTCATCAGAGGCAGAATGCTTCAGGCTCCTACAAATCTTTTATAATTTAGGTTATTCTTTAGCATATTCTCTTTAGTGTGCCCTTGCACACTGTTTGGAAATTATCCGCTTATTGGCTGAGAGCAAGCAATACGATAGGGTCAGGGACATTTATAGAAACAGAATAATATTGCCAGTTGCAAATTTTCCTGCAATTTAGTGCCTATCAGCGGGAACCAACACTGTGGACCATGCCTCTTCTGTTCACTCCCATCAGCAGTTTTCTTTCATTCACCATTTGGAACTACCCTCTCAATACATGTAACACTAATGTTGGATGTCATTAGTGTCAACAGCAGAACCACAGCTCCTCAATATATGAACTGTATGAACCTGAACAGGCCACAGAAAGACCACTTATGTAGAATCCCTATGCATAATTAAAAGGATTAACAAAAAGCTATTCTAATACATTAATGAACTATTAAGGAGTTTGTTCACTGATTACAAAATTGCTTTACAGCTCAGTTTGTATTGCTCAATAACTAAATTAGAAGAGGAAGTCGCTCCAGAGTCCAAGTTTTTAAGCATTTTAAGCTTTCTGGTATTTGTCTCAAGATACTAATGACCCGGTGAATCCCTGCTTTTGCAGCCACATGGTCTACAGATAGTGTTGAGAACAGGCAAATATTTGACACGCAGTACAGAAAAAAACACAAACCAATAACAAATAAAGTTGTGTGGTCCTTACACAACACAAACGCAAGTGCAAGTGATATCTTTACTGGAAACACCACCACCCCATTGCTAGCTTTCAAAATATACCAGTCTTCATCAGGCTATGCACTATTTTTTCTCCAAAGTATCTCTCATACTTGGCTTTTTAAACAAAAATGTTTTGCTACTGTAGCAGGCTAACTTTAAGATAAAATTTAAAGTACAGTACTGTTCAGTGAATCATTATGAAAACACTAGTTAACTTTACTGGAAGTTATAATAAATTATTGTTATAATTTCCTTTTCAATAAGTTACTGTGCACTAAGCAACTGATCTATTTTGTAATCATAATAAACTATAACTCTATGATTTAAGTTTGGGTTCTTTTTTACTGTTCTCCTAATTCTTTTGTTCAATAACATTAGATCAGTCAGCTGGTTAAATGTTTTCTGACCGATCAAATATACAAGCAGTAGGAAGAAGATAAATAATTAGCAGCAAGTAGTTAAAAATCAATGATTTTTCAAAATCATATTTATTTAAATCATGATTTCACTCATGATTTAAATATTAAAATCATTTTTATTTAAATAAGCAAACAATCCAATCTTTCTTATTTAAATCATATCCACTCTGATTTGTAGCATTAATATGAGAAAACTATCAATCCTTTGCTATGGAAAAAGTGAAATTTTTTAAAAAGTAGTAATTTGGAAAACTAAATTTAATAATGGCTTTTGGCAATTTTTTTTTGTTTTTAGAACTTTAAAAATCTAATAAAACAATAGAAACCTACCAATAAGCAGATGACTAACTGGTGGTTATACTGTTCGATTATAAAACAGTGCTAATAGTAACTACAGAAATATACACATTATTTTTTCAACCTAATTCCTAAAATTATTAAAATTCTTTTGTACCGAGAAGAGTTGGTACTCTTAGATTTTAGTGGGTATGGGGCTTTGCCACAGACAACAGCTGGTGGACTCTTAGTGCTCATAAAAGACTCTTCAAGTTCAATATGAAAATCCTGTACAAAAGCGTGATTTATAAATGTCTAGGTCAACATAAACATACAGTATTGCTACAATTAGCACAGAATGAAAACAATCCCTACATAAATGTAGACTTGAGTTTCAACTTATTCAACAAGAATTCTTCTTAGACAGGGCACAGCAAATACTGATTCACTGTAAGCTATTTTGATTAATAATTGATCCTACCATAATGCTACCTAATAAGTTTCCAATTATTCATTGTCACATTAACAATGGGCAAGTAAATATCAAAATGAAAACTAGCGCTTTTCAAGAGTAACAATAATTTCAGGACACTGAAGACCACAGCTTTGAGCAAATATTTCCACAGAACAGTTATCCTTGGAACAAATTCAAAAATTATTATCTTTTCCAGTTAGTTGTGGCACAAAATCAAGAAATAACACTTTGCACCAGTATAAATGTTCTACTTTTTTTTAATGAACATGATGAGTGTCCTTTCTATTAATGGTCATTAGCTTTGAGGACTTGCATACAAATTTAGAAAATATATCAATGTCTGTACATGTTATGTATGCAACATATGAGTCACTTATGCAATAGATAGATCGCTTAATTTACAGCAAATCAGTTTTTAAAATGGTTTAACTGCAGAACAGGATTTCAGCCTTTGGATTGGACAATCATTCTTTGTGCCAGACCCTCTGAAATCAATGGGATTAAGCCAGTATCCAACCCTTTGTTTTCAATTGTTTAGATTTTCTGAATTTCATATCCAAGTATATTGGTGAAAATCACAAAAGAAATATACTTTAGCTTTTCAGTGGTTTGAAAAACAGGCTTTGCTTGTTTTAAAATAAAGAATCTGGAAGTTCTTTGCATTTTACCCAATATCACAAAATTAAACCTCAAGAGTTATGCAATCTGTTGTTTCAGCTTGTGTTTTATAGCAGAGACAGGTGAGTGGTAGCCTTCTCTCCAGATATTTTTGCACTACAGTTCTCATAAGCCCTCTATGAAGTATTTATTTATGGTTGTTAACCCAGTCTTACATAATATAATATAATACAATAAAAACTTATAAAGATATATTAGTAAAAAGAGACACAGTTTACATAATAAAACCATTTATAAATAAAGTACTATGTATGGTTTGCGGAACTACAAGCTCTGGCAGTCATACATCTGTGGATGAGCATAGCAGCATTACAGAATCTGGCAACACAATTTGTGGTCTGTAATGACCTGTCCGAAAGAAGTAGCTTCACATAGAATTCAATGGGCCTCCCCGGAAATTTGTGAATAACAGGATGAATAAGTTTCTTACATAGTTCTTGATAGAAAGGGCAACATAGAAGGATGTGGGTCACGGTTTCTATTTGGTTGCTTTTGCAAGGACATAAACACTCTAAAAGGGGGATATTTTGGAATTTCCCATCCAGAAGCATGGAAGGGAGCATATTCAATCTAGTGAAGGTAAAAAAGCTCATGTTATCTTTGAGAACATTAGGCTAGAAAAACATGAAGACACTGTAAAAGCACTGTATGTAACTACACTGTTAGTACCCATCTGGCTCACATGATCCTAAAATTCTATACCCCAGATCCTATATTTGACTGCCACTTTGGCGCTGGTGTAGCCAATTGCTATAAGGATATTGAGAGAGAAGCCAATTTGTTGTATTTCTTTGACTACAAAGGATTTCCAGTCTGACTGGAAAGTATCCAAGAGGGTCAATTGTGCCAGACCTTATGAAAAAAAAAAATACAAGTTTTAACCAACAGTTAATCATAAGAACGTTGACCCATGTTCTTATGGAAACTAGACAGGCCTCCAAGCAAAGGACTACATTAGGGGTATAGGGAAGCACGGCCAAGCCATCTATGAGAAGATGGGAACTGCAATCTAGCAATATTTAATTATCCATCCCTACTTTATATCTTACATAATTACCTGAACTACCCTGTTTCCCCAAAAATAAGACCTAACCTGAAAATAAGTCCTAATATGATTTTTCAGGATGCTTGGGAAAACATGGTAGAACACTAACAGGAAAATATATTAGAAGAGTAGATTTCAACCAGCTCCTCCCAAATAGAAAGTTTTCTGTAAAATAAATAAATAAATAAACAACAAAAATAAAAACAGAAGGGGATGCTTACAGCTAAACTGGAATATCCACAATTCCAAACCAACCTTCCATAATTTCTACACAGATGTCTATGAAGAGTTGCTTTATCTTTAATTTTAGCCTTATTTCAGATTTTTTAATGCAGATTTTATCATCAAGTCTAGGCCCTTGTCAAGGTGGCACAGTGAGGAACCGAACTCCCAACCTCAATGAAACCACTGAGCTATCCTGAGGTTTGACCTGTCTTACATTAAAATAGTACAAAATATTTTTATTCTGTACTTCAGCTGAACATTAATACCTGTAAATTGCTTCCCAAAACAGAAATATCCTGCATCAAAACTTTATGAAAAATTTATATTCACATGTAATGAACTTCATAAAAAATGTAAATATTCTCCATATAGAATCATATGGAAATATGGCAGCATATTTGATAGTTGGAAGTTATATAGTAACGGGCTTACAAAAACAGGACACTACAACTTTAATTAATTATTTAATACTGGTTTTCTGCCAACAAGAAGTGAGAATTCAGCATTACCAAGCTGTATTACGGATCCAGTGTTAAAATGTCTTGTGCATTTTACCATCTTGTCTCGGACAAGAAAATCCAGATAGACATACAGTACTAAATAAACTCTATCAGTACTGTAGCTCTCTTGACTGAATGTGCTGTGGAGGTTTTTTGCTATCCACTGCAACTGCTAATTTTTTTAGAGAATTAGCAATGAAATAGGCTGATCATCAATTTGACTAATAGGCTGCTATAGAATTAATCTCTTTTTAAAATTACCCTCTCGTGCAGTTTTACACAGAAATATTCTTCACAGCACTTGCACCAAAAAGAAAAGAAGAAGAAAACACAGGCACAATTAATCCAGCAATCCAGAGTCTACTGAGATTTTTCTGACTTCTGCAGGAACCCCTCAAGCAGCAAACATATTACTAGGCAGAAGACTAGGCTTTATTTCAGCAACAGTCCGCATCAAGACCTTGGAGAGCGAGTTAGGCCTCAACAGTCGCCCACACTCGCTGCTTCCCAAACAGAGACGGATGGCCCTTCGGTTTCCAAGCACCTGAAAGGGGATACCTCCTTCTCGGGATCCAAGCTCCACCCATCTCTCCTGGTGTCCAGGCCTTGGTGGTGAGCCTCTTCCCCTCTATCGGGCGCCGCCACTGAGTCCTTCCAGGCTGGTGGCGAAGGGTGGGGGGGCTTCCCCCCTCCGTCTCTGAAGAGCTGGAAAGCGGCTGCTCGGGAGCAGGAGGAAGAGGGGAGGGCTTCTGGCGGCGGCAGCAGCAGGAGCAGGCAGCGGAGAGAGAGGGGGGAACCTCTTAAGGCTGTTTAGCTACTGTCTCTGGTATGTCAGGGGCCGGGATAGGATTTCGAAAGATCCGCCATTTTCACTTCGTCATCATCATCACATCCCAGCTCAGCAACAACCTCAGCCTCCTCCCCCTTCCCACGTTTCCCTCCGCCCCGATCCGCCCCGGAGCCACTCCCCGCCGGAGGAAAGCCCTTCCCTCCCTAACACCGAGGCGCGCAAGAGAAACCCGAGGCTCTCCAGCGCTGACCGGCCGAGGGGATAAAAGCGCCCTTTCCCGCCTCCCCTCCGGCGACAAACAAACCCCCGAAGCTTTTAGCACGCCGGAGAAGGGGAAACGCCAGGAGAAGGAGGAGATGCCAGTTTCAAAAGGACAACACACTGATTTAATTCCAGAAAGAAATGGCTGGTGCGATTGTTGTTGTTAGGTGCCGTGGCGACCCTACGAAAGACAGCTCTCCAAAAAGGTTTAATTGGCTAACACAAAAAAAGACTCACGTTCTTTGCCAACTTGTGGAATAAGATTTCGTGGGCAAAGAAGCTGGTGTATGAATGAAAACCAAAAGTTGGTCCTATGTACACATGGATAGCAGTTTTCCTTAAATGAAAGGTTTTGCGTTTTTATTAACCTGACAGGTAAAAAGCAATTGCCAATCAATTCCAACCACAGATCTCCATGTATTAGCAATTACGTACATGAGAAGCATTTCCAACGATTCTGATTCTACTGAACAAAAAAGAAAGCTGGTCTTCACACTGGCCATTAAAGAAATTGTTGCAACCTAGGTTCCTCCATATGACACAGGCTTGGCTCTAGATCAGAATAGGTTTGTTGCAGTTTGTCATTGAAATCAATGAGATTTAAATCATTACCAATTCAGTACACTGATTTCAATGGAATGCCACTTCAGCTAACTTAAACTTGGACTCAACCAAGCATTAATTTAATAGTCTAAACACTATGTGAGAACATCACGCTGTAAGTTATTTCCAAAGAAGTTTAACAAATGGAACTGAACTACAGAATTCCCAGTTTTCGTTCTATTTATTCTACGTCATCTCCAACACGTTGACTACAAGTGTCAATATATGACTATGTTCTTAATACTGTAACAGATCAGTAGTTCTAGGTCACTGGCAAAACTCCAAAGACTGGAACTCAAACCAATAAGAATGCAAGAAAATGTTTAAGAATATGTTCCTGTTATGGGAACTACAATGCTTTTTTAAAAAGTAGGCATTGCAATCCTATGCATGTTTACTCCAATGTAAAACATACTTAATTTAAAAAAAAATCATTAGTCCTAGATATAGGACTATAGGGGGGAACCTCTTAAGGTTGTTTAGCTACTGTCTCTGGTATGTCAGGGACCATGACAGGATTTCAAAAGATCTGCCTTTTTCAATTCGTCCTCATCACATCCCAGGACTAAAGCCTTGCACTTTCTCAAGTGTCAGGTACTATTTCAATCACACCTTGATAAAAATGTTGATTCTCTTTGCAATTAAAGGAAAGGACAGCGGTGAAGAAATTATACAAAAAGATTGACAAAGGTGTTTCTCGTTGCACAGACATTAAGCTATCCTGGAAGTTTTGGAATAGCCATGCAACCTATCCATGAGATAAGTTCCCATGTAAACATTTTGCAGTGTGCATCAGAAAAATCATAACATTACAGGATGCATATCTATATGACAAATAAACTATATGGTCTCTATCCTCTACACATGCTAAGCTAAGGGATCGTTCAAAGGACTAAAGTTCTCTTTCCACTGGAATTATGTCATAGAAAGTATGAAAAGATTATTGATATCAAATGTTTATCATGTATAATAGTATAGCTTCAACAGATATAGTCTGAATTGTAGCATTTTAAAAAATACATACGTACTATCAGGTACTGGAGTTCTGCATCTTAATTGATATCAGTACAGCAGAATCAGTTATACCTCTAACTTGCATTTAAATGCTGACACAGTAGAATTCAACACTTTGCATTTCAATGCTAATTGAGTTCAGCCGGTCAATATATTCAGTTTTTTCTGCCAGCAGAAAGAATTCTTGTTGACTTTCCCAGGATCAACAAAAGTGGAAAGCAACTGCTGTAAATCAATCATGTCAGTAAGAGTATTGAAAATTACTTTTTAAAAATTACCAGGTATCCATTAGTTTAGAATCCTACCTTTAAAAAAAGTATCATCATACCACCCTCTATTAATGTGTAATAATGCACAAATAGCAACTTAAACCACCGAACATCCAGAGATGACAAGATTACTATAGTGCAAGAACCTAGTATGACACACCATAATCTATGTTAAAATATACCTCACCACAGCATGAAAGGTTGTGAGGGGGAAGGGGGGGATTGGTCGTTGTGGGTTTTTCAGGCTTCTTGGCCGTGTTCTGAAGGTGGTTTTTCCTAACGTTTCGCCAGTCTCTGTGGCCGGCATCTTCAGAGGACAGCAAACTGTTAGGAAAAACCACCTTCACAACATGGCCAAGAAGCCCGAAAAATCCACAACAACCATTAGATCCTGGCCGTGAAAGCCTTCGCGAATACATTGAAGGGGGGGATTGTTTATTTAGATCAGTTATTCACCTTGTTTCATTACAAGAACAGGATAAAAACTTTTCCCCTATATTACATTTAAGGAAATAAATATACCCAATAGGTGAATAAGTATTTTCCGATTTACATCATCCAAAAAAGAGAAAGTATTAAAGTCATAATCATATAACTGGAAAGTAACGACAGATGTGCTCCCACCCCCCAGACATCCTGAAGCTCTTTTCTTTTTCTCCCTTCCTGCTGCCTACCTATCTCCAATTACCTATCTCCAATTCAAGACAAAGGCCTTTCTATCTAAGTCGCAGAAAAAAAAAATAATTGCTTGGGCCAGCGGTGTGCAGATTTGTCTAAAAACCCATTGTCCTTACTTGGTTTAACCCGAGTCAGCCATGAAATCTCCACCGTCTCCCAACAGGAGGGAACTGACAGTTTTACACCTCCGTCTCCGCATCCTCTGTCCCTGGTCCCGGATCCCAAAAGGCAGCACCCCCC